ACGTACTTAATTGGTAATTATTCGATGGACGTAATTACCCTTATGACCTAATTAGGGTTTCCCCTTGGGTGTATATATAGAGGTCATTAGGCAGAGATCAGAACACACCAATCTTACGCCTTCTCTCTGCCTCTCTATTCTCGTGAGTCTCATCCTCACCTTAGCCATCATAACGATACACCCTAAACGGGAACTCGATCTGCGTAAGAATCATGGCTTCATTCCTAACTACGTTTACAGGATTATCAGGTACACATGATTAAATCCCTAATTTATATTTTATGTTTAAGAATTGATCAACACGAAAAACAGTCCATTGGCTCGACCTTCTATAAGAGAGTGAAAGAAGTAGAAGAAATTGGAAGAGAATGCAGAGATGAACAGTGCTCTCTTTTTTGAAATGAAGAAATTGGTTAAATTCATCGAACATCGAGCACTTTCATTTTAATGGATGCGGTAGGTATAGTAGGAGTAACAACAACGAGGGCGAGATTGTATTTTGGATTTGTTAGGAAAAAATAATAATTTTCTTTGTTATTTTTCTTTATAAATATACGGAGTATGTAAAAAACTAAAATTTAAAAAAATAAAAAATACCCAAAATAATATAAAATAAAATAAATGAAATGAGAAAATAAAAGATAGAAATTTAATCACTCTATAGAAAAAAATCAAAATATAAAAATAAAGTATAAAAAATTAGAAATAAAAAAATTACTTGTTCCTACTAAAATTGGCTTAGTTATAAAAAAAATTACATTATTGATGCGCTCTCATTTATCCATTTTAATGCATTTGATTGAAAATTTCTACTCCCTCCGTTCCCCTATATTTATCCACTTTTATTTTTACACACCATCCAATACACTTCTTTAATCCATTTTATCTTATAATTTGTATATTAAAAAATTATAAAAATTATATATTAATAATCTATATGTTAAGATAAATCAAACAAGATCACACATGACTATATTTAGGCTTACACGTTGAGAGAATTTGATGAGTCAAAGAGCTTAGATGAACAGTTCCAAAAGTCAAATGTGGACAAATACAGGGGGACGAAGGGAGTATATTATACATTTTTATGAAGTACTCCGTATATGACATGTGTTTTGATATACTTAGGGGTGGACACGGTACCGGTACGGTACCGTCACCGGCAACGGTACCGCCGGTACCCGCCACCGTCACCGCCAAGGTCGCCGTGTCACCGGTTCCGGGAACCGGTACCGGTACCGGTTTCGGTACCTATTTTTTGGTACCGGTACCGGCGGTACCGGTCCGGTTCCGGTACCGGTTAATTTTTTTTTTTTGTTCATTTGAAATTCCTGCAAAAAGTAAAAAAAAAGTGGGGGGGCACACCTCAAACGGCTATTTAGCCGTTGAGGTGGGGGAGGGGGGACCAAGATTTATCTATAAATTCTCTCATTTTTTACATAAAAAATCACTCAATTTCTCAATCCTCTCATTCTCTCAATTTATCAATCTCTCAATCTTATTATCTCTATTTAATTTTTATACATTTAATATTCATATAATAATATAAAAATTTTATACATTAAAATTTTGAAATTTTCAAAATTTTAATATATAAAATTTCGAAATTTTTTCAAATTTTTCAAAATTTTAAATATTATTAATTTTTAAATATATTCTTTAATCTTTAAATAATTTAAATATATTCTTTATTTTTTGAAATTTTCGAAATTTTAATATATAAAATTTCGAAATTTTTT